ACTGATGTGAAACAGCAATCTGTATACGGGGTAAAGTTGGGAGTTCATAACCCACTTGAATCAAACTGTGAAAGATGATGTATTAAGAACTGTGTAATGTTTTGAACGACCAACAATAAAAAAAAATTAAAAAAAAAATAAAATAAATAAAATAAAATTAAAGTAGCAGAAAAAAAAAAAAGAAATTGCAAGTACAAAAAAAAAAAAAAAAAAGTTGGACTGGGGTGCAACTTCATAGTAGAACACTTAACAACATGCGTGTTCAATATCATCCTAAGGTCAATCCCCAGCACCACAAAAGAAATAAAGAAAAATAATATCAGGAAAATTGATAATAACATAATTCGTGTTTGGTGTCCCTGTGTTGCTCCTTGAAGCCAGTTTGTTTGGGAGTTTTGTTATTTCGTATTGGGGATTGAATCCAGGACTTCACACAATACTATTCAAGTGCTATTCCACAGAGTTAGACCCCAAGAACTTTTTATATTATTTTTATTTTTATTTTTGGAAGGGGGGGAGGATACCGGGGATTGAACTCAGGGCGCTCAACCACTGAGCCACATCCCCAGCCCTGTTTTGTATTTTATTTAGAGACAGGGTCTCTCTGAGTTGTTTGGCGCCTGCCTAGCCATTGCTGCCTGTCCCAGCTGCTGCTGGAATTACAGGCATGTGCCACTGTGCCTGGCATGAGAACTTTTTGAGACAGGGTGTCACTAAATTACTCAGGCTGACCTTGCCATTCTCCTGCCTCAGCTTTCTCAGTAATTGGGATTACAGGCATGTGCCACCATGCCCAGCTAGGCAGGTTTTGTTTTTGTTTGGGGATGTTTTTTTGTTTTGTTTTCCTTTTTAGGCAGTATATTTTTTTTTATCCATCTCTGCAAAGCACTGTTTATTCCAGATAAGTAACAGTAAGGGACTTCCATGATACTTGTTTTTATCCCAGGTCTGCATTTCATAGTGAAGTACCAAATTCAGCTGATCTATTCCAAGTTTCAACACTTTTGTATTACCACTATAAACTGTATATAATTACATCAGAATTAAATTAATCTGCTTTTGCAAAATAAGTATGGCTGTACTTTTATCTTTGATACTTTGTACTTTTACTTTAACATATCATTTGTCCCTTCAAATCAAGGATCAGTGAACTTTTTCTTTTTTTTAATTTAATCCAAAATTTAGTATCACTAAAAGGGGTCAAACAGAAATCATATATCTTTATATGTGATACCTGAAGACAGATTGAATACCTCTTTTATCCTATCTCACCCAAAAATGTATAACTGAAATCTAATTGTTAGCCAATATCAGACAAACTCAAATTCAGGGGACATTTTATGACTCTACTAGCTTTTTTTCATAAATGACAATGCCCTGAAAGGCAGCATCCTAGGAACTCTTCCTGATTTTAAAAGCCTAAAAATTCAGGAAACAAAATGTAGTGTGTGATCCTGGACGAATTGATTCTATCCCTGGAGGGGAAAGTGGCTTTTTAGGACATTATTGGGATAGTTGATGAGACTGCAGTTTGTACTGTAGACAATACAAAGTAAAGTATCAATGCTTGAATATCTTGAATGTGATAACTGTAAGATACTTATGAAAGAGAGTATTCTTGTTCTCGGGAAATACACACTCGATTCATAAGGGACCTATGGAATACAGACTACTCTTATATGGTTGAGAAAAATAAGTGTGTGCATATTTAGAGAGAAAAATGGTAAATTAAGTGGCAAAATGTTATTGATTGATGGATCAGTACTATTCTTGCAACTTTTCTCTTAATTTTAAAGTTTTTACTACCAGTTCTTAATATTGAATGTCTGAGAGCAATAAATAGGTAAGTCCTGCTTTACCCTAACTGAGGGTCAGCTGGGGCTTCTAAGAAACTCAACTTCAAAACAAAGCAGCAAAATACAGATCTAAGAGCATAATATTTAACAGAACCAAAATTGCTTTGTGGGATGAAGTCTCAAATATTGGTTAAGTACTTTTTCCTTCTTTTTAGATATTTTATGACCTGGTCAGACAGATAAATAGAAAAACACCAGTGGAAAAGAAGAAGCCTAAAAAGAAATCATGCCTGCTGCTCTAGACCCAAAGTCAGCAGCAGCTCTGAGCCAGGTAAGATGCTAAAAGTAAAACAAATGCCTTTCTCATCATCTCCTTTTGGAATTTTTCCAACTTGGCCCACTTTTTTTTTTTTTTTAACCTATTCTGGGTATTTCTGAGCTTCTGTGCTTTGTACATGTGATATACCCTTGAAGACACATTCATCTGTTGGATTATTTAGCTCCTGCATGAAATTCTAAGCTGTGAGAGGGTGACGAGCAGGTCTGATTTGCTCACCACTGTGTTTCTAGCACCTGCTGCAGGATGGGTATTAATCACATGCGCACCTGTAATCCCAGCAACTCAAGAGGCTCAGGGAAGAGGATTGCATGTTCAAGGCCAGCCTCAGCAATTTACTGAGACCCTGTCTCAAAACAGAAGATAAAAAGGGCCAAGGATGTAGCTCAGTGGTAAAGCACCCCTGGGTTCAATCCCCAGTACCAATTTAAAAAAAAAAAATCTTACTGGATAATAGGTATTCAAAAAATAGGGCTTGGGGCTGGGGATGTAGCTCAAGAGTAGAATACTTGCCTAGCATGTCTGAGGCCCTGGATTCAATCCGCAGCCCTGCAAAAAAAAAAAAAAATAGGACTTGAATACTTTCCTTGATGATTCCCAAACTCATGCTGAATTAAAGTGAAACAGTGATTACTCTGAAAGAAAAAGACAAAAGTGCATGTCTGATCAGTTTATCTCAGACACACCCATATATATCAGTAGTGTTCACTTTCCCTAAATGTATTCCTGCCCTGATTTCTAACACCATGGATTAGTTTTGCCCCTCTTTGAACTTTACATAAACAAAAACATATAACATTATTTTATTTCTGACTATTTTCATGAGAATTACCCATGTTTCATGTAGCAATAGTTCATTTTATTGTGTTATACTTTATTTTATTGTATGACTAAGTTAGTAATATATTTATATATTCTGCTGTTGACAGATGTTAGGGCATTTTTCAGGAATCAGCATGGATAATTCTGCCTGCATATTCTTGTGCATTTTTTTGTGACATATGCATGCATTTCTGTCCATGTGTATGTCTAGGAATGGAGTGGCCTGATCATATGTTATATACATTGACAACTTTAGGAGATTCTGCTAAAAAAGTTTTTCAAAGTGGTTTTACCAGTTAACACACCCTCAGCAGTTTATGAGTTCTACATCCTCCCCAAAATTGGTGTTACCAGCCTTTGTAACTTGAGCCGTTCTCGTGGATGTGTAGTAGTACATTATTATAGTTTTGGTAGTCATTCCCTCTCAGGTGTATGTTGATATCTTTTTTTTTTTTTATTTTTTAGTTTTTGGTGGACACAACATCTTTATTTTATTTTTATGTGGTGCTGAGGATCGAACCCAGTGCCCGCGCATGCCAGGCAAGCGCACTACCGCTTGAGCCACATCCCCAGCCCCATGTTGATATCTTTCCAAAAAAATGTTTTACCTATAAGCTTCTGAGTAGTAGTTAACTTTAAGTATCATGTAAGTTTTGTGGCACAGGGAATTAGACCCAGAGGCACTCTAGTACTGAGCAACATCCTGGCCTGAAATTTGTGATCCTCCTGCTTCAGCCTTCTGAGTTGCTAGGATTACAGGCATGTGCCACCATAGCTGGCTACCACTTAAGTTTTTGTTAAGTGGACCCAGTGGAAATTAGTGACAGTATTTAATAAAGCTGCCTATCAAGTGAGAAACCAGGCTATATAGGATCAATTATTATCATTTAATAATTATGTATTCAAATTCTCTAAGGTTTTTTTCCTTTATTGACTGTGAGTAATACTCCAAAAGGGTGTTTTCGTGAGTAGTTTTATGATGTAGCTTGATGCTGATTACATGAATATTACTGAACTTCATCAAGTTAGAGGAAAGTAAACTCTTGCCAGTTGAGAGTTGGTTGTCCTAACTCTCGTCAGTTTTGTTTTGTCTTTTGAGTTCATTTAGTAGATGACCTCTTCCAAAGCTCTAAATAACTTATATCTTCTATATAAGTGAATAAATTGGCCAGTATCATTTAACAATATAATTTGGCCAGTATCACTCACTGTTTTTTAAGGAAAACAACTGAGTAAGTGTATCCCCCTTTTAAGTGAAAAGCAAAGGAAAAATGGACAGAATAGAGTAAAGGGTATAGGGATTGTCTTTGAGAGTCAGATTAAGAAATAATAGCTTTGGGCCAAATGGTTGTTTTAGGCTTTTAGTGAAACTTGATTTAATAACTTTAATTCATCAGTTCCCTGGAAGTTGTTATTGTTAAGATTACTGTCTTTTGGGGCTGGGGATGTGGCTCAAGCGGTAGCGCGCTCACCTAGTGTGCGTGTGGCCCGGGTTCTATCCTCAGCACCACATACAAACGAAGATGTTGTGTCCGCCGAGAACTAAGAAAAAATAAATAAATATTAAAATTCTCTCTCTCTCTCTCTCTCTCTCTCTGTTCCTCCCTCTCTCTCACTCTCTCTTT